ATAAAATACTTTAAAACTGTATAGTTGTTCTCAAGCAATTCTTATGAAAAGTTAAACCTTAATACAGTTTATTAAGTCAATTTCACCTTTCCGTTTTAAGAGTATTTACTATTGTTTACCTTTTTTAGGTATACAGTAAAAAAAGTGTATAGCTGATAATTAACTTTGCAAAAAATACTGAGTAAATGAAAGATAGTATTTTTATCATTTGTTGTTAATTAATCTCCATTATCTACAGAAAGACCTCAATTCTGAGGTCACCTTTATTATGTATAAAAATGAATTAAGTGTTAGAGGTTAATAGACTGTATCATTTATACAAGATCCACAATGGCAAAACAGGAATAAGAATTCATCAGCTCACAGAAATGCTGGGCCTGACTCATGGAAGTATGATCATGTATTTTCTCCAGTTCTGATTGCAACAGTGAAAGAGTAAACCATGAAGATGTTAATTAGTGTTTGTGAGCAACACCACAATTCATATCTAGAAATGGTATTAAAGTAATATGTGTGGTTGAGGAGGAGGGAAATGACTGGTAGTGCTAATTATCTTGAGTTAACTCTAGAAAAATTAATCCTACTAGAAATAAAATTCTTTAATAATAATAAAAGAAATCTGTACGATTAATCTTCCAGGGTATACTGACATGTCAAATGAATAAAAAACAAGTTTTTAGTCTTTCTGATATAAAAATGAAGGCCAGTTCTATTTAGTGTGCACATCTAAGTACTTTGAAAAATAATGACACCAGGAACTAATAAATAATTAGATCAATGTTGCAGGATATAAAATTAGCATAAAACATCAATTGGATTCTATGTATTGTACCAGCAACAAACAAGAGGAAATTAAAATAAATACACAATACGTTTGCTATGGCTTAAGCATGTATAATGATGGCCCCTATATTAAAGGCTCGGTCCCCAGGGTGGTGTTTAAAAATGGTGCAAGTCCTTAGTTATGAGGGTGTGCACTCGGGAAGCACTGTTGGATCCTAGTCTTTTTCTTTCCACTTTAGTTTGAGATGTGACTGTTGCTCCAACAGGTGTTCCAGCCATGATGTGCTGCCATCTACCCTTCTCACTAGAAGTAAAACAACGGTCTCTGCCCACCCTGTGCCCACACCTAAACTGTGGCCCTCCAAAACTGTGAGCTAAATAAACATTTAAAAATATATAAGTTGGCTGCCTCAGGCAGTTTTTTGTAACGCGAAGCTGATTAATACTGAATAGTCATTTACATAAAAACCATTCAAAATATGTAAGATGTTCATGAGAAAAAATGCAAAATTGTGATGAAAGACATCAAAAAAGCACTAAAGGTGTTCCATGTTCATGCAGAGAAAAATATCAAGATGTCAGTTTTTCCTAACTTGAGCTACAGATTCAATGCAATTTAAATCAAAATCTCAGAAAGCTATTTTGTGAATCTTGCCAAATTGATTACAATGTAGATGTGGAGGAACAAAAGATTCCAAATAGCCATGAAATATGGAAGAACAAAGTTGGAAGACTGACACTATCTGACTTCAAGAAATATTATAAAGCTACAGTGATCAAGAGAGTGGTATTGAACAATAGAAAGAACCCCCAAATATGTCTACATAAGTATAAATCATTGACAAAGAGCAAAGGCAATAAATGGTGCTAGAACAACTGGACATCTACATGGAAAAAAAATAGATCTAGACATAGACCTTATAGGCTTCACAAAAATTAGTTAAAGAAATAGATCACAGGTTAAAGATAAAATGTAAAACTATAAAGTTCCTAGAAGATAATGTAAAGGGGGAGAATGGGTTGAATTTACAAAGCACAGAAGATTTTACAGCAATGAAACTACTTTGTATGATACTATAACGGTGAATATGTATCATTTGAAATTTGTCCAAGCCCACAGAATGAATGCACAATACCAAAAGTAAACCCGAGTGGAAACCATGTGTTTTACTTTTTCTTTACTGGGGCAAATACCCAACACCCACAACTTAAAGGAGGAAAGGTTCATTTTAGCACAGTTTTTAAGGGTTTCAGTCCATGGTCAGCTGGCTCCAAGGCAGGGCGCCCTGTCAGAGGAAAAACGGTCCACAGCGTGGGAGGCAGGAGACAGTGAGACTTCCTTCTTCTTTCTCTTTTATTTCATCCAGGCTACAAGCCTATTGGCTGGTGCCATCCTCACTCAGGGCAGGTCTTCCCTCTTGAGTAATTCTATCATCCACATTCAGAACCATGCTAAAGTGATCAGTGGACTAATTCAGGATCACACAAAAATGATCCAGTCACTCCCCAAAGCCCCATCTATGAGTGCATGAAGATTTTGGGGGACATCTAGATATAAGCAATAACACCACAGATTGTGGGTGATAGTGATGTACAACGTAGGGCCATCAGTTGTCACAAATGTACTACTCTGATGAGGGTGCTGATAATGGGAAAGCTATCCATGTATGGGGGCGGGTGGTATCTGGGAAATCTCTGCATCTTGCTCTCAGTTTTCCTGTGAACATAAAACTACTCCAAAAAGTAAAGTATATTAAAAAAAAGTAAAGTCATGGTAAAGTAAGTTTAGTGCTTCATTTTTTCAATCACCTCAATGTACAAAGTGTGATAAAAATATGGTGAATGGTAAAATTTTTAAAAATTATTACAGTAAAAGTTATAGTGCCATTAATTCCCTTCGAAATACCCCTACACACACACACACACACACACACACACACGCACACTTCAAAAACACTTACCATTCTTGTGACTTTCTGAAGCAGTTCTGGAAGTCCTGTTTTGTAAGTGTCTTAGTTGCACTGTCATTGCTGCCTTGATGCCAGAACTGATCAAAAATATTTACCCTTCATGGTTACCTTCACTTTGAGGAAGAGCCAGAAGTCACAGAGTGGTAGATCTGGTGAATAAGATGGATGGGGGCACACTGTAAATTTTTTTTTGACGGAAACTGCTGTAAAGGTTTGATCAATGGGAGGTGATCACACACTATGGTGAATGTTTAATTTTAAAACGTATTACATTAAAAGACACATTGTCATTCATTCCCTTCAATGTACTGAAAATACTTCCCTTCTTTCCGAACACATTTATCTCATTGCTCTTGGCAACATGTCTTTTACTGTAAGAAGTTTTTAAAAATGTAAACATTCACTGTATCTTTTGATGGTCCCTTGTATTTTTAACTATGTGTAGCTTCATTTGGAGATTAAAGTCAAATTGCAAATGTAAAGCTCTTCCCAAGTGTGAAACTGCGTTAGTTTCCTAGTTTTGCCATAACAAATTACTACAAACTCTGTGGCTTAAAACACAAATTTATTACTTACAGTGCTGGATATCAGCAGACAGAAAAAGGCAGACTTGTTCAGGGCTGTAGAGAAGCAGGACTGTACTCTTCTGGAAGCCCTGGGAGAAGAATCTGTTTCTTTGCCTTTTCCAGGTGTAGAAGTTAACTGCAACACTCTGACCCTTCTTTAACTCTGATCTTCTTATAAGGACCCTTATGATTACCTAGGGCCCACCTAGATGATCCAAGCTACTCCACTCATCTCAATGTCCGTATCTTAATCATATTTGCAATGTCCCTTTAGCAATGAAACATAACATATTCATAGGTTTTGGGGATTAGGACATGGGCATTCTAAGGGAACCATTATTTTGCCTACAACAGAAGCCCACAACAAAAATCATTCCAAGAGTTTTCCCACTTTGTATGCTTTTCTTTGAAATATAGATGAAATTTATTTTTTACTGGCAATAGTGAGGGTTGAACTGAGGGCCTCTGCACAGAACGACATCCTCAGCTATTTTAAAACAGTTTTAGAGATAGTGTCTGGCTAAGATACAAAGCTGCCCAGGCTGGGCTTGAACTCATACTCCTGCTTTAGCCTCCCAGAGTGGTGAGATTACAGGCTTGTACCACCATGCCGTTTAGGACTTATTTTTTTCTGAACTCTCTAATTGATACCATAGAACAGTTTAACCAACAGGTTTCAGAGGATCTCACTTTCTAGGATATGCACTTTTAAATGACAGATATAGAGATTTTCTCATAATATGGCTGCTCTAACCTGGTATAAAGTAACAGGAAATGATATGTTTTTTCCAAAAGATGCATAATATGGATCTCATTGTATCTCTATGACAAAGATCCATGAAAAAAATGTTCCTTCTTATGTTATATATATGAATGAACACTGTAGTCTGTACTTTTGCTCACCACTCTTGATCTGTTAGACACTGTTCATACATGTAATGTAAGATCTAAGCATTCATAGTGAACAGAACTAAATTAATAAATCTGTTCTAAGGACAAAACTAAAACAACCAAATAAGGTTCTGGTTAAAATTTGTCAAGGTTTGATTCTATGGCAATTAATAAAATAAGATGTTATTACTATATCTTGTTTGTAGCAGATTAAGGGAAAACAGGTTTATGTCTTTTAGATTAAAAAGTAAAGTTTAAAGATCAATATTAATAGAGCCAGTAATTTGATTTGTCTTTCTGCTCTCATAGACTCATGTATTCATTTATTCATCCAGTTAAACAACAGATACTCACCAAAAGCAAAGTATAGAAAAAACACAGGTATGGCAAGGGTGCTACAAAGCCAAGTACAGCCATAAATTTGGTTAATTTAATTGCTGCCTCACATTAATTTTTAGTTTACTTGAAACCCAGCTGTACCTCCTCACTTTTAGCTTGGTTACTACATCCCTTCCTATTTTGGTGGTTTGAACATAAGACACTTTATCCTCATCTTCCGAACTCAAACGCCAACACACACACAGCTGCTGACCATGATAAAGGCTAAAGGCTCATAGAGTCGCATAAGTTATCTCTTTGTATGGGATTTAAACAACTGAGCAATCCATAACCACCATGGAAAGACCAATTGCTCACAGACTTTAATAAAGCCATGGCACCACAGCTTGTCTTTCTTGCTGCCTACCTGCTAGTTGAGTCCCTTGCTGTCTCCACTCTTCCTGTTGTGTCTTTTGCACACCCTCTCCCTTCTCTCAGGATCTGTAAATGATAAAATCCTTCGGTTATTTCCTGTTTGGTTGTGCTGCCTGATGTAGTAGCTCACCTGTCCAGTAACAAGTCAAAACTTAACCCCTCCCCACACAGGGGTCTCCTAGAGTGATTTTCTTGGCTTTTTAATGGCAATTCTCAAGAGAGTCAAGAGAGTCAGGTTGGAAAGAAACCGTTGGAATAAAAATCGTTAAGTATACCGTGATGCCTATCTTCCATTTCAGAGTCAGCAGTGTGACAAACTTCAACCAGCATAGGAGCTAATCACTGGTCATAATGAAAATAACAAAAACAAAACTGTGCTTTATTATACTAAACAAAGAATAAGAGCAGAAAGTTTTTATTTTCTTTGCTTTAACTGGCAAAATGGATAGAAATGATAAAAATGAAATATTGGTAATACTTTCAGTGTTCAAGATTCTTTTTTAGTGAATCCCTTGTATTAGCTATTGGTGGGTAAAGATGGATTACTATGAACTAGCAAATAATTACCTATACTTTATTAGTAATTTATTCAGTCAGCAATTCATTCAATAAATATTAAGCTTCTGTTACATTCCAGGAGCCTGGTGCAGGAAATGTCCTCAACCTGCCCCCAAAGAAAAACCCTGCTCTCATGAAGTTTACATTCCAGGACGTAACGCAACAGTGCTCTGGCACTCCAGATGCCTCATTATATTTTCATGGTAACACCATCATGACAAGGAGGCCAGTACTAAACATGGGCGAGATACGCTTTGGGCCTGGAATTCCTCAACTCTGGTATAGTACTTCTGCTCTGCCATTAGTTGTGCACTCTTGCGCAAGGTAAACATTCTGTCTCCTCCCCCATTCCTCCCCCGCTGTATAAGAAAAATGGCAATGCTGGAAGTTAAAGGAGACCTATGTGTTGACTGTTCAGCAATTATTACAGCTGCTTTGGTTCTGTGGTACCGGAAAAAAAGTATCTGTTCCTTAGACTCTCAAGGACCTTTAGATTCCAAAGGCCAGGCCACACACACCAATTAAATCCCAATCTTTCTGGAATAGATGGTTCCGTTGTGCAGACAAACTCGGAAACCAAATCTGCAGCTTGGATTACTGTCGTTTCAAACATTTGCCTGTCTTCACCCCAGTGGAACCTAGAAGTCTCGGAATTTAATGGAATTCAGAGAATCGAGGTGCACACACACTCTGGGTCCCGAACTTTTCCTCCAGGGATCCTAAAGGGGGTTGGAGCAGGGCAGAGTCCCGGCTGACCTCGGTCGCGCGCACAGCCCGGGTCAGGACCCTCAGGCGGGAGGGAGGACGAGCGGCGGCTCGAGGCCGGCGGCCGGGGAAAGCAGCGGCCTCCCGGCGGCGCTGGGCCGGGACAGACGACCGCCAGGCTCGGCCCCTTCCCGTCCGCCCGCCGCCCCCTCGTCGTGGAGCGCACCGCGCGGCCCTGGCCGTCATGGAGCCAGCAGTGCGCGGCCGCCGCGGGTCCACAGAGCTCAGGCCTCTCCTAAGCGGCGAGCGCGGAGCCCAGTTTGGGGCCTCGGCCTCCTCGCCCAGCGCGCTCGCCGTGGCCGCTGTGCTGCCAGCGGGGGGTTGCGGGGAGCGCATGGGCGTCGCCACCCCGAAGCAGTTCTGCCGGGTCCTGGGGAGGCCGCTCATCAGCCACACCCTGCAGGCTCTGGAGAGGTAACGCGCCCGGGGCCCGTCCCCGCCCCGCTCCGCGGCCCGTCCCCGCCCCGCTCCGCGGCCCGCGCCCCGAGCCCCGCCAGCCCCTCAGAGACCCGCAGCTCTCGCCTTTGAACAGAGGGGCACAGAAGCGGGAGCTGCTGACGGAACCCTTTGTGTGTGCAAGCACAGAACGTGGTGGGGAAAGTGCGGCCGAGAAGCTGGGTTACTGAGTGGGGACTGAGGGATTTAGTTCCATGGCGGCGTTCGGGTCAGCGGTCCCGACGCCTCCCGCCTCTGCGCATGCGCGCGTCGAGTCGTCCCAGTGTCGCGTCCAGTTTGCTGGGCGTTTGGCCCTTTACAGATAGGCGCTTACTGGGCGCTCGCTGTGAGACAGGTAAGCTAGTTACCAGGTGCTCAAGGTGGAGAAAGGGGTAGGATTTAATCCAAACCTTTCAACAATAGAGATGGATTAAAAGGTGAAATTGAGGCCAGTCCACCCTTTATTCTTAAATAAAAGGGAGTGGAGGTAACTGGTTCAAGAAATGTAGGAAGGAGAGGGAATGAAGTCAGAAGCACCAGGATAGAAGTAGCGAGGGGGTGAAAAGGAGGAGAACGGTATTTCTGCTTTGTTTTTAACCCCAAGTAATGTAATGGGATGGGATGGGATGGGATGAGGTACAGGGTGAGTTCCCGAGGAGTGGGAAGTAGCGGAATGATAAGAGGGCAACTTTTGCCAGGTGTTTAAACTACTTTGTCAAGACAGTGGGGAGCTGTGGTAGTTGTTAACCTGGGTTGAGGCAATCTTTTTACATGAGAAGATAATGCCCTTTGCAAAAAGGAGGCTTTTGTGGAACCACTGGACTTGGCATGTTGTCCAAAAAGCCCCCCACCCCCAGCCAAAAGGCCAAAGTTATTTCTTATAAGGTCATTTTACTTTCTGAATATTACCGTTTGGAAGATAAAAGCGTAAAGAACCATAATCACCCTTGATGAATGTAATCAGCCCAGTGGTTATGGCTGAAACTCATTCAGACTTCGAAACTGTCCCAGTTACTACATTTCAGTCTTCTGTTTGTCTGGGTAGTGGCTCTGGAGAGGGGTCTCTGAAACTCGTAATTAGTCGAACCTGCAGTGTTCTAGTGCCACAGACATGGCGACAGCTTAGTTCATCTATGCACGTGATTCTATGGGACGTAATGGATCTTGGCCAGCAGGATCTTTGTCTAAATGGTAATTAGAAGGGAGAGGGATGGTAGTCATTTTTACTTGTAACATTCCTTTCCTTGGAAAAAGTTTTGTATTTGTATTTTTGCATCTTCTGAGGCAGTCTGAGGTAGGTAGACAGTAAAAATTAAATCTTTGAAAAGTGAAAGAATTTTTGGAAAGATCTTGTTTATGGAAAATAAGGCAAAAGAACACTTGCTTTCCATTTTCACTTAATTGACAATAGCAGTTATGAAATCTAATAGCCTCATAAATCTAATAGCAGTCATGAAATCTAATAGCACTGAGGTATGATATCTAACGAGTTATAATTTAAGAAAACTTTGATTTTTTTCCCCCCATCATTTTACTAAGAAGGAACTAGGATCAGGGATATTAGTCTGTTAGTAGCTACTGATTTTTTTTTCATTAAGTTTATTGGTACATTTTAGGTATGTAAGACAATTACATCCATCATTGGAATTTTGTACCTTTACATGATGTATCTTGGTTCTTATTTTTTCTCCATTCCCCTGCCCTCCCTTTACCCCCCCTTCCCTATTTACAAAGACTTTGTTTCCATTTTTTTCCTGTTCTCATATTTTTTCCTTTCCCTTTTCTTTCCCCTACCCCTCCCACTTCCCCTACTCCTTTAGACCTTTTCTTCCTATTTCACAATATCAATTATACATTTTGATCCTTATTTACACTTTTTTCTCACATCAGAGAAACTATTTGGTATTTACACATGTGTGTCCTATTTATTTCACATAAGAGTGCATCCACTTAGTAGCTACCAATTTGTGACCTGAGTTTGTACAAGGAAAGATTGCTCCAAGAAATCATGTGGCAGTGGGGTTATTGACAGGGATATAAAACTCAACTGTAACTGTAAAATTCACTCAATTGATCAACTCATGTACCTACGTTTTACTGTTTAGGAAAATTTGTTCCTAGGATCTGAAGTAGGAAGTTGTTTTGTCCTTTACAACCATTCATGAGAGTCTTCCTGTTCAGTAGGGGAATTTGGACAAGGGAGCACCCCAAATCCTCTGACAATGGGGCTGCATGGAATTCCAAACAAACAAGCATCAAACACCAGATGATCACTCTTTTGGGTGCCAACCTAAACCTAAACAATTTGAACATCTTTATGAGTGCCCAGAATGTTCAAGGCTCTGGCCTGGGCTAAAATCTCCTGGGAGAAACCTGCAGCTGGCTGGGTCTTGGAATGGTCAAGGAACTTTGTGATTTTAGTCAGGACACAGAGAAAGTGGGGGTGGCAAGAGAGGGTGACCGGGGACTCTATAGGATAAAAATTCCTACCAGCAGTGTACTTTCTGGTTTCACATCTATAAGGAAAGAAATTGTCATTTAGGAGGGTTGATTAGCCTGGACTAGCTGCGAAGTGGACAAGATGACAGGGAATATGCCAGGAACAAATGAGAGGTGCTTATTCGTTGTCTGGGCTGGGAATGTCTGACAGTAGACGTGAGCAAGGGGAGGGCTTTTCCCATAGCTCCTGAGGTTTCTTGAGCTCTCTTAGGTGGAGGACCTGGCTTAAGATAATGTGTTCCTTGATAGGACTCATGCTTATCAAAAACCTTATTATAATTTAGCCCACCATATAAATCTACAGGAAAAAGGTGTGCTGTCTTACTGGGAAGAAGCATTCCAGACCTTGTGACAGTAGTGTCTAATGTCTGTCATTGTAATTAATATTTTGGCATTTCAATCCGTGTTTCAGTCTCTTTAGTTTGATTGGAGTGAATTGGTCATGGTATAACAACCCTCGGTAAATTAAAAAAATTTAGTTTTGTAGAGCTGCATGTGTGTAGATAATGGACATGCAATCTTGTGAATGAGATTTAGTTACTTTCTTGTCTTAATGCTTGGAAAATCAGTGGTTAGATAACAAGAGTCCAACAGGAGTGTGTGTGTGTACCAAGGTGTGTTTTGCAGCGTATTAACTTATAGTTTAATTTACTGTTTCTTTTGCTTTTCAATTTAGTTTTTGTATTTTTTTTTTGTACTTTAAACATTATTCTGTTCTATATTTCTTGTCCAAATTCTATTGAACAAAATAGCTAGAAGTAAATACATGAATGTTAGTTCAAATGAACAGTATTGTCATGTGAATTAAACTAAAGTAGGACTGGAGTGCAGGAGAAATATTTAGCAAATAGAACCAATAGTTCTCAGTGATTACCTGAATTTAGAAAGAGAAAGATGTGGAAGATGCTTTTAGTTGAATGGTCAGATACTTGAGTTTGATCTCAGGCCTCATTAAGAATAGGGTCAAGTCTGAGTCAAAGGAAGGAATAGAAGGCTATTTTATTTTGTATGGATCGATCACATGATTAGAAGTTTGTGTTGAGTTCCCAAAGGCCCCTATGAGACTCATTCGGAACAAGAGCAAGACTAATAGGCTGAGGCTTGATGAAAACCAGAAGTCTTCACGGACCATAGTAAGGACATTTTGATATTGCAAAGGCATCAGGAACCCACCCATCACACCAATTCAGTATTTGGCTGCTAAAAAAGCAGGATGGGTATGGAGAGATTGAAATCCATAGACAATGGCTACAGTGCAGTTCAGAAGCCAAGTTTCCATAAAGGCTATCATGACAGAACAGCTGCCACCTTTCGTTTGAGGCCAAATCTCTTCAGCCTAGATGAAAGTGTGTTAGAGTTGTTAACAGGGCTTGATTTTCTCTTGCTTTTTTTTTTTTTTTAAAGCATTTAAATTTTTTTCCACTGATCTTATTAAACCGTCTGAACAGGGTTGCTTGTAAGTAATATTATTTCAGGAGAAAATTACTTCTGAGATATTACGTTTCTTCCTCAAAATGTCTGTAGGTGTTATAGAGTTTGGGGCTAGGTTTATATTTGCCTATGGAATGTGCTAGGAAGGAAATAATCAAGAGAACGTGATAGGATCAAGTTGCTGGGGTTTTGGTGTGGACTTGCCTTCAGCTAAGAGGTAGACAAGATGTCTTTACTCAGCAAATATTTGCTCAGTAGGCACTGTGTGAGGTACTTAGGCCTTTCTCAGTCCCATGATTTTACATTATTAAAAGCTTTTTACAGTATTAAAATTTAATTCGATAAATAGAAAAGAATGTGGATAAATCCTTTGAAATACAAACAGTGCTTATAAAGGCTTGCAGGCACTGGGTGTATCCTTGGTTGCTGAACAAAGCAGCATAAGCCCGTTATCTCTTGAGTAGTATAAAATAATAGGTATTTTGGATTTTTTCCCCATTATGTGCTATGCATTTTAATTTTCCTACTTTCATTTGTTTATTTACCCAACAATGTTGGTTTGAACTTATCAGTTGATTTCACTATGAACTGGGTCCTGAAATTTACAGTTTGAGGAACAGTGGTTTAAAACATTATTTTATATTGAGAATCTCATACAATTGAAATAGTCTAAGGCTACAGGTATCTGTTTGTAATTATAGCTACTGTGACTGTTTTCTGTTTGGAACAGGGGGAGTTGTTTTATAGATATGATAAGGTATTCTGATAAAATTGGGAGCAAATACATCAATGCATTGAACAGATATTTGATGGCTGCGATAGCCTTTTCTATTTCTTCCTCTTCTATATTTTAATATTTAATTCAATTTATTTGTTTCATTAGAAATAACAAGGTGATTTCTCTAAAAGTTGTTTTTAATTGATTTTCTGGTGGACTATGTTACAAAAAGTAACAAAAGTGAATGTTTAGGGGAAAAATTAATCTTTTGCCTTATGGAAAAATCCTGCCACTGATTTGGTTGAATGTGTGTTATAATTCCTGTGTTTCAATGTGATGTCACATTAAATAATTGACATAGGTATATACTTAAAAGCAGTCTAATTTTCCAGAATTCTCTTTATTCATTTGTTTAACAGCTATTTGTTAAATATAGTCTTTCATGCAAGGAGTTCTGACAGTTTTTGTTTATTACTGTGTAACTAGCATCAGGCTTAATACTAGGAAACTGCTAGATGCTTGATGTTTGCTGAATGTCTCAGTGAATACATGGGAGAAGGAATGTCTACTTTTGCTGGAGTTATCAGAAATTATAAGAAATTAGACTATTTCATTATAAAAGCAACAATGCCATATAGTTCAGCCCTGGAATCATAAATGAAGTGTGGGAGACACAATGATGTGGAATGGTGTTTTCTTCCTGGATGTTAATGCCCTTCGACTGTAACAGTGTTAGTGCATTTGCACAAGCTAAAGATGTGAACTGCAAAGTCAGATTGAGGTGACAGCCTGTGCCCTTCATGTTCTAGCTGTGTGAGGATGGGTAGGTCATTGTCTCTGTGTCCTGACCTATACAATTGAGATAATGCTGATTCAGCTCACAGAGCTAATAGGGATATCAAGTGAGATATTGCAGGCTTGAGCCCAGCCTGGGCAATTTAAAGTATGCTTTTTTTTTTTTGGTACTGGGGATCGAACTCGGTTCCTCGGTTCCTTGCACTTGCGAGACAGGTGGCAGAACCACTGAGCTAAATCCCCGACCCTTAGCCTGGGCAATTTAGTGACTTAATGAGACCCTGTCTCAAAATAAAAAATAAAAAAAAAAATGGGCTGGGGATTTAGCTCAGTGCAAAGACCATGGGTTCAATCCCCAGTACTGCAAAAACAATACAAAATAAAACTGCATAGGGAATGCTAATTTTATTTGTGCTTTTTGTTTTGCTTTGTTTTTTATAAGAGTAATGAGCAGATTTTGTTTTCATCCTCATTGAGCCTGTAGTGCCTTATAAGATGTTACACTGCTCCTGGTCATTTATTCATTCAACAAGTATTTATTGAGCATCTACCAAGAACTAAGTGTAAGGCAATGGAAAAACAGATCACCTTTCAGGAAGAGATGTCCAGGAGATTACAGAAATAGAATGTTTTTGTCTTAATGAAAAATAGTATTTTTTTCTATTTCAAGTTCTTTTGGGAATGAAATGGTAATATAGAGATTTTTAATGTATATGTTCATAACTTTCTGACTTGTTTCCCACACTGTAAGACAGTGTAGAAGTGTTACAGTGAAGAGTGCATAAAATATGAAAAATGCTTAAGACATAGTAAGATCTTAATTTTTGTTAGCGATTGTTTTATATTATGTGACAGTTGATATATTCTCAAGACTTAGCTGGTCTGGGATGAACATCCAGGGTCTCACAGACTAGAAATTCCATTACATTTTAAAGAGACCTTTTTTAGAGTTGCTATGAGGGGTCAGAGGCGGTTGTCTTGGCATGGGCCTCATGTCTGTGGAACATTGAGCCTTCAGTGACTCTTGCTTCTGGACAGCAGACTTCTTTATTTCAGTAGCCATGTACTGATCTGGACTACGGCAGTGCAGTAAGTCAGTAGATCTTTCTTGAGGAAAATGTTTAGAACAGGAAAAAAATTGATTTATATTTCACTGCTTTACGTTTCATGACTCAACGCTTTCTTTAATTCCACCGACTTATTTATACATACTTGATTATTATGATATCCCCACTTAAACTGCATGTTTAATCTTAGTGTGGGCAGGATTTGTGTTGAGGTGATTTATCCAGCTTTGATATTTGTGTGGCTGGTTGCCAACTCAGTGGACCTCTTGAAAAAACAGCTGACTTAGAATTAAAAAGTACTTCATCCCATTGAGGAAAAAAGTGGTAGGAAAAATTTAAAAGCATATTCCAATTCTCTATTCTCCCACTCTACTGACACACCAACTGTTCAAATTTAAGTAAAAAAAATCCTCATATAGCTGATAAGTAGTATATTGTTTCTTTGTATACTATATGATCTACAATACAATATATACAGTGTGAAATACCATCTCTATAGTGTGACGTGTTGTTTGTTTCATACATTCTTTACTGGACTAATACAAATGCGTAGAGCTTCGTTAGTTATTAGCTTTCAGTTTTTAATTTCCCTGTGTCTGTACTGTGATATGTATTAGTACTGTAATTTTAATTTTGTTATTAGTTTTGGGTGCTAAGGATTCATGTATGTGAAGTGTATATGTACTTTCCTTTTAGAGTATGTTGGATAAAGGACATTGTTGTGGTAGTAACTGGAGAGAACATGGAAACAATGAAAAGTATCATTCAGAAGTATCAGCATAAAGGCATCTCACTAGTGGAAGCTGGAGCGACACGCCACAGGTCAATTTTCAATGGACTAAAAGCACTGGCAGGGGACCAGGCTTACTGCAGACTCTCCAGACCAGAAGTTGTGATCATCCATGATGCTGTTAGACCATTTTTTGAGGAAGATGACCTCCTCAAAGTTGTCAGAGCTGCAAGGGAACATGGGGTAAGTATTTTTACTCTTGAGAGTGAGTAAAAGGGGCAAACACTGTATAGTTTGGTTTGTTGAATTTTGATAGGAATATATTTAAATATCATTATTTAACGTAAGACTGTTGACCTGAAGACATTGCGGTAATATGTTTGAGGAACTTCATAGTATTGCAGATTGTGAGACTGTTGTGGAATTTCTTTTGCTATGGTCATTAATCAAAAGGTAATATGAGCTATTTGAAGAAAAATACATTAATCATGTCATTAGAGTGTGGACTCAAGTGGAACTTCAATGAATGAATTTAAATAAGCAGTTATATTAAAAATACTAGAGAAGTCTTTTAAAAGTGCAAGGTACACATAACTAACAACGACAAAAAAGCCCACTGAGCTCAGTTTTGTGTTAGGAATTTTCAGAAGTAGTTTGTTTTCTAGTACAAATAGCCATATAAGAGTTTTGTACCTTTTCAAGTAAATCATTCTGAGATGACAAGATTATTTCCCTTTCTGTTTCACCAAATTGAACACAGGGATTGAAAAATCACCTACTGTAATCACTGGAGTATGTTTGTTCTTTTCTTTCTATTGCCAGGTGAAATTCTATAAATGTGGTAATACTAAAGTTTGCAATCTAACTTTGAGACATAGTGAAAAAATTTATTGCACAGAAATGGCATAGTATATAATAGTATTAGATTGTGAAGTTGGACAGACCCAGTCCTGAATTTCTAGTTTTTCTAATTACCAGTGGTATAGTGTCTTCAATTCTCTCTACCTCTTTCTACCTGTAAAAATACAAACAGCATTACATGTAAGGTTATTTGGGGGTTGGAAATTCATTTGGTAATGTCATAAAAGGCAAAAGAAGCCTTTTTGTCCTGCCCCAATTAATATGCTAAGAATATCATTGTTTTATGTGTGATTAATAAAGCATATTAGAATGTATAGTAATTATTTCTTTTGTTGAACATTTATGATAATCCCTAGTAGACTGTGTAATTTTCTTAAATTATGTTCTGATTAACACATTTAAGATTAAATCACATTTATCTTAAAACCAACAGATTGTACTTTAGTGCAGTCTATAAAACTTTTTGATTATACTTAAGACATTTGTTTAGAGCCACAACTTTATAAACTATTCATTTTGAAGAAAATTTCAGAAATATAGTCTCTTTAGAGGCTTTTTTTTGATGTTAAAGGTTAATTTTAAAAAATGGGTAAAATCATAAGTCTCATATAAATACATGTATTTATTTATTAAGAATTTTCCATAATTCATTAATGAGGAAACTAGACAGATGTTACAACTGGTTCAAAATTGAATCCCAAGAAATACAAACATATAATAAAAAAGAATGTTGAGATGAATGTAAAAAGAGGCAAAATGAGGATTTCCATGAAGGAGTCAATTTAAACCTCTGCAGGACAGAATTTATTTGCATATTTATATAGGCCAGAGTTATTTTGTATTGCTTATTAGCTATCTATAACTTTTAGAGTTGTAGAAGAATTCAAGGTCTATATCCAGCTAATCTGGAAGGGTCTGCTCTAAGGAATATATTTTTCCACTGTAGCCACTCAGTAAGCTCTTTTGTTTGTTCTGAATTTCCTTACATTTGAGGTAGTGTTCCAGTCGCCTCGCTTAAATCCAAGCACTACTTCCTGCCAACTCTAACGTTGTTCTGACTTGTAATCATGCAAACATAAATGCAATTGAGACTTATGCTAGTAGTTGAACTTCTTAAATTGATGGGAAATACTGGCATCTTTTCAACCTGTCAACAAAAACTGTGGAAGAGTGATGTGAGTCATATGCTTCCCCATGGCATGAAAATTCTGTTGACTTTGCTGAGAGCCACTTCAGACTGTCTTCCATGGCTTCCTTTTAACTTTCCATTGTTCTCTTACATAATATTCTACAGACTCTTTAATTGATTCATATTCTTGCTCCTGCTTGCTTGCTTGTGCTTACTCTTGCTCTTTCTTGCTCCCAATTTTCAAATTCTACCCAAAAGTAGTTTCTTGACTAAGTTACCCTGACTGGGGAGGGATAGGGTAGTTAGATGTGCTGAGGATGACTCTGATATTTTCAACTTACATTCCATTTTTGAGTTTTAATGCAATGAATTGGTGAAGATGTGTTACATCAGGAGACTCAGTATAAGTCTGGCATCAAGGTGGCCTGCACGCAGAGAAGCTTAGAAGTGTCACCAGGCAGGACTCAGTTTTTCTTTGTTTGTAATGGAGGCTTGGTGGTTTCTGTAGGACCACAGGCTAAATTCTTGCAGAATATTTTTCCCTTACTGTTGATGAGAGTTGGAGTATAAAGGTCTGCAATTTCTTTCCTTGTTACTTTGGAAATAGATTATTTCACCATTTCCTGGCTTTTTATGCTACTTTTGAGAAGTCATCTAATTTATACACACTGTATTCCCTTGAACATAATCTGCTTTTTCTTTGTTAATGCTTACACTTTCTCTTTGGTTCCAGGGATCAAACTCAGGACCTTGAACTTGCAAGGCAGGCAGTGGAACCACTGAGCTAAATCCCTGGCCCAATGCTTATACTTTCTTATAGTTTGTTCAGTGTCTATGATGTGCCTAGACATGGATTTGTGTTTTTCTCCTTACTTTGGTTTATTGTCCTTTATGAACTTTGATTCATGTCTTTTTATCTAGAAAATTGTGAACCATTATGTGATTGAATTTTCAATCTTTGCACCATTTCTTATACTAACAATTTTTTTTGCCCTCTTATGAGTTATTATATGTATGTTAGATTTTTTAAAATCCTGTCTTCATGTTTCTTGAGTTCTTCCACATTAACATAGTTTTGTATGCTGGCAAATCTGTTTTCTATTTTGTTCACTTTTTAACTATGTCTAATGTTCTGCTTAAGGATTTTTAACTTTTTAAATATTTTTCAATTATTTGGAGTTTTTATAGTGGTTTTTTCAGATGTGATTAGCCTTTCTTCTGTTTTTGACTACATTTTTGTCTTTTAATAGTTAAATTATACATTGTAACTAATAATTATACTTCTTGGTAGTTGTCCAAATTTTCATTTCTTGTCACATCTGCTCAGGATTTGTTTCTTCCTTTGCTTTGTAATTTGAATTTTAAGCTCATATTTGGCAAGACTTTATCGGAAGAATCCTTTGGGCATGGGATAAAGGTGTGTCTGAAGCGTGAACTTGTGTTCCTTCTGCCAGTGATTCCAAGCACTTTACCAACTTGGAACAACTTTATGTTAATGTTGGTTTGAGGTTTTGTAGATCCTATGGTAATGTTAAGTCAAACTGTAAATCTACATGAAGCTAAACTGATGGTGATGACTTCTCAGAAGTGACTGTCCCTGCTCCTTCGACCCAGAGCCAAGACTGACAATCCTGTTTGTTATCTTCTTTTGCTTGTAGGCATTTTTTATGAGTTACCTTTTAAATTATGGCACTGTTCTTCCTATGTCTTTATGTGAGTGCCACACTTCTAACCAAGTAGGACAGGCTCAAGACATCTAGTTCCTCATTCTTTATTATCTGTTAAAAAACAAAACAAAACAAAACAAAACTAAAGCCTCTTGCTAACCCAAAGGAGCCCTGCCATTTTAATTTCCTTTGTGTCTAGCTATTATATTTGTTACTCCCAAGAAATTTTGTTATCAGTACTGTGAAACTTTTAAAAGCCTATAATGTAAAATTCTGTCTTGTGTTTCTTGTTCTTTTTTTTTTAATTGAAAGCATTTTCCAAGATACTGTCAATGCCATTTTGCTAAAAATGGTAGTATTTTCATCTGTCTAAGGATGAAGTATTCATGTAGTTCTGTGTAATTATGTCAAGAGATGAATAGCAACAGGATTTCTTATAAGGGAAGTGTTGAAAAGAGTAAAGTAAATTGGAATATTGAAATGACCCAGAAGGTGGGTAAGAATCATTTTTATGACTAACACGCTATTGTGTACTCTAAGAACTGCCCATAATAGCATGGATTGAAAAGGAGATGGCATCAGCCAACCAAATTTTTAAAGACTTGCTCTTAGAGGGAGATGCTTCCTAAATTACTTGTGCATCTTTCTTTTCTCAGTTCTGTTTGTTCAGATATTTGCAGACGTTATCTTCTCCTTCTTAGTCAGCTTCTTGCAGGAATAGGTCATCCTTTCTGTGCTTCCATACTCCAAGTTTATTACCCAGTACCCAGAATCTGGGTTCTTTTTATCTGTGACTCTTCTTTTAAAATCTCTTGTGGCTTCCTGATTTACAGATTAAATTACATTTTTTGGGCTGTTTAATAAAGAATTTGACTGGCTTTGTTTCCAGGTTCCTAGGAAGAAGAATCTAAATACTTGGAACTGTCCAAGGAATCGTAGGATTTTTGCTATTCCCAAGCCCCTTGGATAACACCAGAGCTTATGCTAATGAGATAACACGATTTGGGATGTGCACTGACCCTGGTAACCACCACCACAGATAGGTTATAGAATGGTTTGAGTACTCCAGAGAATTCTCTCCTGTGCTGTGCACATTTGGGCCCAGCCATAAGTTCTGACAGTCATGTGTTCTCTTCCTATTATTTTTGCCTTTTCCATAGTACCATATAAATGGAATCACGTAGTGGGTAATTTTTGAGACTATTTCTTCACTTTGCATAATGCATTTGCATGTATGCATTTTTGTTCCCTCTACCTACTGGTATCTCCTAAATCTCATATGATCTGGCCTTTCTCCTAAATTCCAGACCCCTTATATTCAGCTTCCCACTTGACAGAACCTTGAATTTGCATTTTTTGGTGTCTATGGCATCTTGTACCTGTTTGAATTTGTTAATCCTCTCATGTCTTGCCTTGAATTTTATTCTGTAGGCAATGAGAGAGCAGCATTGATTCCTTGCACTCTGCCCCTTTCTGATCAGATTTAGATTTTGTAAAGATTAGTAGATTAGAGAGTGAGTTTGAGGGAAATGAAAATTAGTTTGGAAGCTGTGGTAATGGCCCAGTTGAGAGGTAATGAAGGCCGA